ACTATAGTGTTTTCCAAGTTACTTCGAACCATGTTTAGCTTACTTTCCTTATCGATCGCCGATCTGGCAAATTGTTCCGCTGTTGTGTAGTTTAAGTCGAAGATTCCCCATGCTTCTCAGATTCTCTGGCTGCAGTTTCTTAGGAGGATAATGTAGAGAGTAGCATCATCAAACTCGGCCTCATATTCCAATAGTCGGCATTCGTTCCAGTATGCCGAAAAGGTTTGTTTTCCTTATTGGAGTTTTTCCAGCTTTCGTCTTGCAGTCTCTTTGGCGTTGGGATCCCCAAACTGTTCCAAGAGTGTTATCTTGAACTCTTCGTACATGACCCATTCTCTCTATTTCCTTCCATCTTGGAAGGGCATGATCCATTGCTCCACGAGTCCTCCCAGTAGAGATTCCACGTATGGAATTTTGCTTACATCGTGGTGTTCTCCATATCCCTTAACGGCAAAATACCCTTCATGTTGTACAAAGAATATTTGTGGCTTGTCTTCGGCTCCTTCGTATGTATCGGGTTCTTTTGCTTTCGGTCATTGGATGTTTCCTTGTCCTGTGTTTTGTGTTGCATCTTGAAATGCCTGAAACTGATTCTCAGTCATTCCAAGTATGCTAGTGCCTGGTGTGGGAGCAGCGTGGGCTGGTGGCCTAGGTACTACTGGTCCCGATATTCTCTCGGGTCGTGGAGTTTCTGCGGGAGAGCTATTGACTGGTGATCTTTTCTCTGCAGTTACTGGGCTTGTTGCCCTCCAGGGCTCTGCTGAAACATGATCTAGGGCGTCGCTGAATCTTCCTAGGTTAAGGTTTTGATTGTCGATGATGATATCTCCTTTCCTCTCTGGGTTGAAGGATGCCATCTTGTATAGTTTCGCGTCGTACTAGGTGACGCTTTGTAATGTAATGATCCCTCCTTGGATGGTTAGGTCTTGGCGATGGGGAATGATACTTCTCTTTTCCTTCTTCTCTTCTTCTTTGTCTTACTATAGTGCTAGGCCTCGGCCTACGTTACCGATAGTACAAGACCTCTGTCTTCTACCGGGAATGCCTATCGTAAGCTTTCTCTAACTCTTCTTTGTAAAGAACATTCCTTGGCGTAACCATAACATTGCAATAAGATAAACATCGTAAAGATGTTTTATATTCGTTAAAGTAATAAGTAGGAAATGGACTTAGAACAAAGCATGAAGAACCTAGCCTCCTTGGCCACCTTGGCCTCCTTATATAGTGTTCTTCCCGCCTGTAGTCCTGTGACCCAAAGTAGTCACATGCTCGAAACCTATAACCTCATAGCGAGGTCATGTGCAAAAACTCATAAACCAATCATAATGTAATAAACAAGTCATATGACTCGACTGAGTCATATGCGTGAAACCCATGACCTCATAACGAGGTCATGTGTGAAACAGAAATCATATGCACAAGGCTTAGCCACAAGTCACACTCGCAAGGCATACTCACCAGGCACACATCCTATGACTCATATTTGAGCCATGTGTGAAAGCATCACAAATCCCACACATAACAAATCATATGACTCCAATGAGTCATATATGTGAAACAATAACATACCTGTGACTCATAACCACGTATCACGTGAAAACCTTTTCCCTGCAAAGCCACGTTCATAACAGTGGAGGATGTTTTTGTGAGGTCACATTGAGGTGGCGATCGTGGAACTTTTGTATTTTGTACATGTTACTTGGCTGGCAGGTAGGCTGAGCTCAGGAGGATTTTTCTTTACTGTTGATGGCTTTGTATTTAGTGTTCCTATTGAGGCATGGTGTGGGCATGTTTGAGGTACGGAGTTGGAGGTTTAGTTCGTAGTTAGTGGTATTCGGGATGCGACAACCAGGGGGCCCAACTTGGCGGTACAAGTTTAAATAAAATTATATTGAATTCCATGTACTTTTCCTACTTATTACTTTAATGAATATAAAACACCTTCACCATCTTTATCTTTATTGCAATGTTATCGTTACGCCCAGGAAAACACTTCATGGAGAAGAGTTAGAGAAAGCTTACAATAGGTGTTCCCAGTAGAAGACAGAAGTCTTGTACTATCAGTAACGTAGGCAGAGGCCTAGTGCTCTCGTAAGACTAAGGAGGGAAACAGAAGAAGAGAAGTATCGTTCCCCGTCGCCAAGAACTAACTATCCAAGGAGGGATCGTTAGAATTATTTTCTTTCTTCTTACCTTGTAATTTGTTTATTATGTTTAATTTTTTCTTTATTTTTTTATATTATTAGTACTCGCGGAAAATTAACCTATTGTAAGGTATTCCAACTATAACTAAGTACCTATCAGTATCAGGTATCTGTATAAGGGAACAGTAAGTATAAGAGTTGACTACAAGCTAGATAGTTTTCATAATAGTTGATTATGACAAAAAAAATAGTATAACCTGGTTCTAACTATCTTGAGAACATCTTTAAAGATGCTCAAATACTATGATAATAAAATGTAAAGTGTCAATTAATATTCTTCTAAGTCAATACCATAAAAACCCATGTTATCCACTATCTCCGTTGACACTGCTATCTCCCTGACAGGGCTAAGTGAGGACAAATTTAGATACTGAGTGACCGCGAGTGATTCCCAAATTAGCTTTCACGCACAGACAATAATAAATTTACTTTCGAGTCAGCTTTCATCAACACGCTCTATGCCTGTTAAAGACTTTTCTTCACTCCATATCATGTCATGGTAATTATGACTCCAACCATGTTTTAGTAATGAATTTTCTCTGGTGTCATATGATATGAGTGCTAGAGTTGACTGAGGTGGGTAGCTGAGAAAAACCTAGGAATAACAGATAAATACGAGAAAGGAAATGACTCGTAGTTCAAAATATGAATCAAACAGCCAAAAGAAAGAAATCACTCCCCTGTATCAGAATTCCCATGAAGGTTGGGAGTGTATATAAGAAAACTAAGAGTATAGCAGTTAGTATAGAATGTATTTCTCAATTCCAATCCAAGAAGAAATCCCTATCGCATTCAGCTTTTCATAATTCCTAGTCTTTTCTCTATTGAATACCCACCTTTAGTACAAGTATCAATACCAGTATGCCACCAATTTGGAGTGCCAACACACGACGTGGTTCCAAAGTGAAAAAAAAAAACTATTAAGGAGCGAAAACTCTCACCACGCGACTTGAAGCCAATTGTTTATCCAAAGTGTACATATACTCAAAGGCAGAAAATCTGAGTATATGTATTCCTCGAGCATTATCAAATTCCCAGACGAAATCCAGGTCAGTTATGAAAGCCAACACAGCAAGAAGCATCCAATGTTTACAGTATTCCATAGCGCACCATTAGCGATTGGGTTAGAAAAAAGACACAAATTGAGGGAGGGGGAAAGAACTCACTTCTTAGAGTTCAGACATTTGGCGAGGAAGCAGCTAGCCACTGCTGGTGGCCAGAACTAGAGGCCAAGCTGTATACAGATTTTCGGGAGTGGCGGGAGCAGGGAAGGATTGTCCGAAGAAGATGGTTTCAAGTACAAGCAGGATTTCGGTTTCGAGAACTCTATCCAGTGGTTGACGCTAGCTTATTCCATTTTAGCAATGGATGGTTCTGAGGCTTTCTTGGTCGACATCGAATTAGCTTACTAAGCATAACCAAGAAAGTTCAGAAGGTGCCTGAAGAATACCAAGCAATGGTAATCAATTGGCTGCGGTTCAACAGAAGGAACTCACAGCCCAGGATCAACCTTTTTTTTGATGTTGTTCTCTCTCACCCAGTCGGCCAGTTTGAGTTATCGAATATATGGAATTTAGACGAAATGCCTATCCCTTACAAATATTTGAATGGGAAGACCTACAACACTATGGGGGCAAAGACTGTGTGGGCCAAGGCATCACAGAGCGGATGGGATAAACGTCAAGCCTCTTTAGTGCTATGTGTTTTTGCGGATGGAGTACCTCAAGTGCCTCCAATGATTATCTTTAGAGGAAAGGGAATGAGACTTGGGAATGAAAAGTCCAAGTATCATCACCAGGTGCTAGTAGAATTCAATAATAAAGCTTACATGAATGATGACTTGTTTTTACGTTATATTGAGAATCACCTAGCTCCTGTTCTCCAAGGACGACCAACACTATTTGTTATTGATTTGATGGGGTCACATAAGACCCCAGCGGATCTTGATAAGCTATGAACATACAATATCACCCCCTCCCACATCCCTGGTGGCTGTACAAGCCTAGTTCAGCCCCTTAACGTCTCGATCAATAAGCTGTTTAAGGAGATGATGCGCGAGCATACTGATTGGACAATATTCACAGCAGAGACTATCGACAGTGTTCACCGCTGGACAGTAAGCCAACGGCGCATTCTTACAACCTCTTGTGTGGGTGAAGTTTACAACAAATTTCACCAAGAGAAGGGAGATATCATTCGATGCGTCTTTCGGAATGTTGGGCTCTCACTGCCAGTAGATGGAAGCCGAGATTCCGAGTTGGATATCAAGGGTTTTATGGGACTACAGATTGGAAACTGGAGAAATGTTATTGGAACTGTATCTGTCAATGATGATAATCAAGACATTGAATTTGTAGACAGTTGATAATTTGACTTTTTACTCTTTTTTCTTTGTATTTGCTAACTTGACATTCAAACTCTAAAACAATCTAGTGCGTCATTTCACCTTCTTTCCTATTATGGCAAGCGGAGATATGGCGTACCCCCCCCTGTATTGATAACCTCACACAAGGCGGAGATAGTGGATAACTTGAGTTTTTACAGTAGTAAAGGTAAGGAGAATATAAAATCACTATTCAACTCATAGTCAGGTAGCGTGGGTTCGAAGTCCCCGGTACAACAGTCAGCCCGTGGTGCATTTTCTTCACAAAGGAGAGCCTTTTTTTTTTACCCTGTTTTCTTGGGCTGGTACTCACTACACCCAAAGTACCACAAGTGCTATTCGGGTACACCACCGGTACTAGTGTGACAATAATGAGCAATAACCTTAACTAGTACGTGAGTTGGAACAGCAAATTAGGTTGCACCAAATCTTTCTCAATTTCAATTTCTACCTTCTACCGAATCCGCCTAGTTCCAGACCCAAGCCAAACCCAACTCGACCCAACATTCCCGGGTCCCGATCCATCGCAGAATATAATACAGTACAAGCCCGGTGTTCCAAAATAGAAGAGGAGAATCCACAGTACAGGGAGAGACGACTAGAGAACAAGTAAGTACGGGGGTAAGCTTACCTAGTCATCAAATAAAGACGTAGTCAAAACAAAGCAGACAAACACCCTACACCATACACCAAGCATGCAATTCCCAACCCAATCTGCAACCTCGCCAATTAATAACTCGTTCTACCCAGCTTCAATTCCTTTTCTCCTTCTCATCCGGCAAGCCGGCCCACTCATCCACATCCTCCCCATCCCACCCCTCGAGGGTTACGAAGGGGATTTCAGCCTCCTCTGTCAAACTTGACCTCACGACACAAACTCCCTCATTCTGACAAATCTCCTTCCTAGCCAGGTTTTTAAATTTTGGACCCGTAGGTCCATGTACGTAATCTATCCAAGACCCTTATCAACCCTCACCTTCCCCAACTGTTTCTCCCTGGCGTTAGGAAAACTCACGATACTGCCCTGCGATTACCCACTGCCTCCTATCGCCGGGTCTGTACATCATGTCCCCCCACCTGCCGCCAAAGTGGAACCAGTCTACCGGTGCGCCCGGTGTATCACGGCTAGGTTTTAGGATGTCATGATCAACGTCGTAGTTGTACATGTATGAGTTTTTAGTCACGTCCCAGAGAGGACCTTTGTCTGTGTGGTCTGCAAGGAGATGGAACGGGATAGCATAGTAGTGTGTTCCTGGGCGTGCGTAGTTTGCGTGGGAGCCAACGGCGGAGTAGCATACAGGCTGTACAATCCAAGAACCATGTTAACGGGGGTAACGTAGTGTGGGAAAGGAATAGTGGTGCGCACGCGGATACCGATCTTCTCGACAGCACCATACTCGTACGCTACACCGCCTGAGTGTTCACTGTAAAAAATACTTTGCGGAACTCCATCTATGAACCGCACAGCAGTATGCTCCCAGTCACCAACATGATTTCCGAATCGCCAACCGGCGACCGTATTCCCCAAGTTGAAGCTATAGAAGTAAAAATAGAAAGCGTCGGTAACATTATTCTCCTTCTCTGTCCAGATGATTATCCCCGGCGCCGTGCTCGCACCCACGTCTGTTTCTCCGTGGCCGATGGGAACGGGGCGGTTGTGATCGCCTCGGAGCCAAGATGGTTGGGTTTCCGGATCGTCATCGGAGGTTAGGTAAACGTGCGGACCGAAGCGGTTGAGATGCGAAAGGGAGGTGAGGGATTGGCGGGTGTGGAGTGAGGTGAGTGGGGTGTAGTTTAGGTATGGGATTGTGTGTTCGAGGTGCTCGCCAATGTCACCCGGGAGGAATATTTCTTCGCTGTAGAGGTGGACGTAGGGCGCTATTCATCGGTGTTAGGAATGGAGACTCGGATTTGGAGGGAAGGAGAAAAGAGGAGAAGAGAAACCATAATCAATCACGAAATGCGGAACAAAGCCTCCAGTAGCTTTCTCAAGACCTTTATTTCCCGTGCCTAATGCCGGCTTTGTCCCTGTGGTATCACCATCCCATACCCATCGTAGCCCGCTAAGCGAAAACCACGCTCCCAACCACTGTTTTGTTAGCAGAAACATTAGAAGCAGACACTCCAATGGTGCATTGACCGCGCAAGAAGGTTCCGCTGTATTTGTAGTATTGGTATTAACCCAAGGAACCCCGGCAAGCTTGCTTGATTCAGTTTGTGGTGGAGGCACTGGTTGTGAAGAAAGTCAGCCAACTACCGTATCACATTGAGCATCCCAATCCTGATACCGAAGTAGGTAGGCAAAGGTGGATAAAGAAACCTTCTCAGAAGATCAAGGATCCACTTTATCACCCTGCTTACCCTAGCGACTCAGTAGCTTGCGTGCTCCACCTTAGGGGTAAACGACTCACTTTCTTAAAACTAACTCTCCCAGCGAGTCCAGCCTCACTCGCCCAAGTGCTCTCTTCGTCACCGTCGTGGTTGTCGCCAGACAGCCCTGCACCAACGAACCCAACCGTGCACCTGCGCCAAATGACAACGGTAACACCGGAGCCGCTTAATTCCGAGAGCGATATAGTACTTTATCCCCCACCTGCTAACAAAGCAGGTATATTTCTTAACACTGGCAATCCACCCTCGCACAGTGCCGTATTCTCCGTTAGTGATAATTTCGGCTGAGCGAAACTATCGTATCCTTGAGTAAAGAAGGGATTTCGTCACTGGAAGGCCTTAAACTCCCCCGCAAGTCAGAGGGGAGGGGGAAAGGAGGCCAGGTGAGTAAGAAGATGGAAGAAAAACCCGGGTTATCCCGTTCGGATATAATGTCTTATCCTCTTAGCTTATGCTAGGGGCATGAAGCGAAGTCCGGACTCAGAACACGGTGTGTTTCTGTGGGTCAGGGAGGGAGGGGACCGAGGCAAGTATCTGAAATACTAAGTATGCTGCCGCACTGTAATTTATCCTGTCGAATTGACGGGGGAGATGTGGTTTGCTTTGTATGGGTGTTTCTTGCCGCACTGAGGTAGGGATGGATGGTACAGCGCAGGATCGGGATAAGTTTATAGGGGTGGGAACGCAGGTAATATGGCACTGTGAGGCAAGGTCAGTAGGGGACATACTAGATCGGAGCACGAAGAAGGTATTGGACAGGCAACCGTCGCTCAAGCTCTGCATAAGAGGCACGAGTACAGTACAGGTAGGATGGTAGCGTGGTGTCTTAAATTCGATTCATGGCCATGCAGGTATGGCGGAGACGGAAATAATAAGGTTCGGAACGCAAAAACGAACATGTGTCTCCCCTTCCAATTTTTCAATGAATCGAGTACGATATCCGTGCCCTGTTCCGTATCTGTATACCATATCTGCTATCTACAACTGCAACAGGATATTTCTACTACTACAAGTCCTCCCTAAACACCTCTGTCGACCACTTTGGTTCTGTCAGCGAAGTGAGTTTAGACGCGGGCTCGCAAGTCACTCTCCCACTTAACGGTCCAGGCGCGGGGATTCTCACGCCGTTGACCACTTTATCTAGGAGTTTACCTAATCATACCGACCACCAGGTATCAGTGAAAATAACAAAAATAAAAACGAAAACATTATCAAAAAGATTAGATCGCGGTGAATTTATACCAATAGCACTCTCCGCGTCAGTCCCAGCAATCTTACCCTTACCCGCACCTTTCCTCCTTCCCGACGTCACCCCCTCCCCCTTCGGACCAGGAGTTGGGGTCGGGGCAGGAGCATCCCAAGTAACTGCCTGCTCTGGTAAACTATCTGCCGTAGCCTTCAATGCCTCTAGCAACTTCGTGACACTCTCTGCCGTCAAATCCTCATAATAATCATCATTAATCTGAACCATCGGACCATTAACACAGGCCCCCAAGCACTCCACCTCGCTAAAAGTAAAAATACCGTCCTGGGTCGTATTCCCCGGCTTCACACCAAGGAACTTCTCAACTGCCTGCATCACGCTGTCGGAATCGCACAGCATGCACGGCGTAGTCGTGCATACCTGAAGGTGGTACTTGCCGACCGGGTCGCGGTTGTACATTGTGTAGAAGGTGGCGACTTCGTAGACTCGCATTGGCGGCATTTCGAGAATGCGGGCTACTTCGTTCATTACGCTGATTGAGGCAAAGCCATGCTGGCGTTGGCCTAGGTCTAGCAGGGGCATTACAGCGGCTTTCTGGTATTGGGGTGGGTAGCGTTTGAGAATTTCATCGATGAGTTGTTGGTTTTGCGGAGTAAACGAGAAGGGAATTGAGGGGTCGTTTTGAGGGGTGTTCCTGTGCTGTGTATTGTGAAAGCTGGATTAGTTGGTGTTTGATACGGTGGAAGGTTGGGTAGGAGATGGCCTGGGGACATGCAACTGCTAGAACGTCGCTGCGACATAGAGGTGTTGTACTGATGCTGCGGGATGGGGTTGGGAAATTGACTCGACGGGGAGCCGCACGCAAAAGACGGGCGAAGAATGGCATGAGAGATGGCGGATGTTCACGAGAATTTGGGGTGTTTGGCGGGGGAGGAGCGATCTGGTTTCTTGGCGGAGATTTGGGGCTTTGGTGGTGGCGGTCAGGCAGCCGGGTAACTGTATTAGAGGGATCCAGTACCGTAAAAACCCGAATAATTGGACAATGTGCCGGGCGGTTAAATTAGAGAGTTTGCGCAGGGGACCCAGGTGCCGGTTAAATCTAAGAACATATGTTATTCAATTTGTCTTGGCCACCTAGGTCTGCACAGGGACCTGGCCGTGGTCTAAAAGATGGGTTTAGACTCCTGAAGAATCCAGCAGGGTAACCAATGTGAAAAAAGTAAAAAAAGAAAAAAGAAGTAAGACAAAACAACCACAGAATAGCCTCCAAAAACCAGCAAAATGAATGAGAATCAACTACCTATCACAAGTGACCGAATCACTATACCAGATTCACCTACTTTGGTCCTCCACATATTGGAAGACCGACACAAAGTAGCAGTGAGTGCTATACCTGAAGGGCAAAGGTCTAGCGGAGGAGGCAGAGACAGCAGAGCTGGAAGACCAGCAAAGTTGACAGGCTGAATGGATTCTGCCCTTGTCTGACAGGTTCTAGCAACAGACCAGATTAACTGTAGACGAGGATGTACAGTTGCAAAATGGGCGGAGGTATCGGAGATACTTCAGAGATTGCAGCCACAGCCAGTCTTGCATAGTCCAAAGTCTTGCCACCAATAGGTTAAATAGCATGTTGAAATTTATAAGGTTAGTAAGATCAACCAGTGAACAGAGCAGGTGTAAGGGATACTAAGGTACATACAATAGAAAAATGAAATATGGTCTTTTGGAAAGAGTGGGACTGATGAAGAGTTTGGAGAATTCGAACAAAATATGGTTGAACTTGCAACCAGGTGGAATCAAAGCAGTATTGACCCAGCTACACGAAAGTTAGTATAGGAAAAGGCTACTGAACTTGATCTTGATAGGAGAAGAGTAGGGGAAAATTCGATGCGTGGGCTAGTCCGGAGACGGGAGGAGTAGCAGGATTGTGAAGAAGGTGAAATTGGTGGTTCAACAGTACCACCACGTAAGAAGTCTATGTAACGAGACTCTATAGAGGACTATTACAGTGAGCCAAACCTATACCCATACTGGTGTCAAGGCACTATGGTGGGAGGAATGGTGGTAGACTAGAGTCTACTAAGTGGAGGTACCGTTAGTTAGGTATCTCAGTTGGACATACTATGCTGTATAGTTCGAAGTGCTTAAAAGGTGTACCTGAGGGGTGCAATTTTGTAATGCGTGTTAAAAGTAAGGGCAAAGGGTTACAAATGTCAAAAAATAAATTTGAATAACAGTTGTTCAATTCTCAGTGCTAGCAAGGATTTTCATGTAATTTTGACTTGTTATAATAATATTATAGTAAATATAACCTCATATCATAAATAAAACTTTATATTATAGAAAACTTAAATAATAGAGAATTTCTCACTTTCCTCACTCTACATACATTATCCTCAATACACCATACAGTAAATGGAGCCCTCAGGTTCCAATAACCCAGATGGCAATACAGTCAGAAAGCTAGTAAATGGGAATACTGAAAAAAGTCGAAAGTGGAGAGAGAAACGAAAGCAAAAGAATGTATTGGAAATAGTAAGTGTTGAGTTATTTTCCTAGTAGACTTAAAAACTAATATAAGATGATAGGATACTGAACTGCCTGAGAGGAAAGTTAGTGCTAATGCACTTCGTGTCAGAAAGTGGCGAGAATGTAAGAAGGAACGCCTTGTACAGCTTTAGCAAGCATCAGTACTCGAGAGGCTCACACCTCCTATTATGGAAGTGACCTCTCTGGCCAGTACTGAGACAGCTATTACCCAGAGAGAGAGACTTAGTAAGTACTATGAGAAATGGCCGTGCCACTTGGGACTACAAAATCAAGCATGTGAGAGGAGATTGGAAGTTTTAGAAGAAGCAAAGAAGTCAATGGTGAAATTGATTACCTACCGTAAGAGCAAGCATGCCCATCACCCGGTTGGAAAGAACTTTACTTAGCATGTCCAGGTGTATCAATTCTTGAAGTTGCAGGTTAAGAAGGAGAGGGAGACACTGAAGGGAGAGGATTTGTTTACTGGAAAGACCAGTATCTTACAAAAGCGAAAGATAATGGCTCAGAAGGTGGCAAATGGAGGTGGATGGGGGAGGAAAGTAATGGAGCGAATTATGCGGCATGAAGTATTATGGGTCACTAAATGGCAGATTCCAGAACCACATAGTGGTACCCATCGTAGAATACTCAGTTTGCTCGATCATGCAGAGATCCTGTTAGCTGTTAGGCAGTACATCCACATGGTTGGTGAGAGTAAGTTGATACTGGTCTGGTTTTTATTAATAGGAGAGAGCATATATTAACATAGCAGATAGATATAGAACTTACATCCCATGGATTAGCAACTGCTATAGCTGAACATTGGAAGAGGATGAGAAGTGACTCTGAAATATCGAACCGGTCTACCAACAATGTGACTCGATAGGTCGAAAAGACAATAGCCGCTTCAACTGCAACTAGATAGCTGAAGAAGTTGGAATTCAAGTATAAGGAATATCAAAAGGGAATATACAATGATGGCCATGAAAGGCCTGATGTTTGCAAGTATAGAGATGAAGTTTTCCTTCCTCACATGGCCAGCTATAAATCCCAATTCATGAAATGGGATGCAAATTTAGATATTATCCCAAATCCTGCTCATAAATCCAGTGAGATACAACCTCTTATTCTTGTCATGCAGCATGAATGTACCTTTAATTCGAATGATGGTTGACACTACATTTGGGTGCATGAGGAGCATAAACTATTGAGAAAAAAGGGACTTAGTCAAGGCCTACATGTTTCTGATTTTCTTACTCCAATTGGACGACTTGGGGATGGTGATGCATGTGTTACAATGCAATGTGGTGGTGATACTTGGTAGAATGGAGACAGATTACTCGAACAAATTATAGATAAGGCAATACCAGCTTTTAAAGCACAGTTTCCTGGATGCAAGGCACTATTTGCCTTTGACAATGCACGCAACCATCTCAAATATGCCACTGATACATTGCGAGTTTCTGAGATGAATCTAGAACCTGGTGGAAAGAATATGAAGGTAATGCACGATACCTTCATTATACATTCTAACCATCCCAATGGGGGCTTTATGCAGTCCATGACTTTTGCGAATGGTAGACCTAAAGGTCTTAAGACAGTTCTGACTGAGCGTAGTATCTGACCACAGAATGGACAAAGGTTTCAAGCACAATGTTCTACTCGGTCCACTACTGGTAAGAGCATGAAGCCAAATCTACACTGCTTAGCAGGTGGGACCTACTGTGCTCGCGCTCTTTTAGCTATGCAGCCCGACTTTCAGAACCAGAAGAGTCAAATTGAGGAGGTTATCTTGGCTACTGGGTATGAAGTCATTTTCTATCCGGCATTCTACTGTGAACTCAATTTTGTTGAGTATTTTTAGGGTGCTGCTAAGGTATATACAAGAAACAACTGTGGGTATGACTTTGAGTCTTTGAAAAGACTGGTTCCTACTGCCTTAGCTGGGGTATCGGACAAACTTATCTGGAAGTATTGGGCTTGTACTGAGAGAATTATGAAGGCATATTACCAAAAGGTAGTTTATGGTTCTCCTGAGTATGCTAGCATTGTAAATAAGAGATATAAGTCTCATAGACGGGTTAGTAATATGTAAATAATCAGTTAGCAGCATTTATCTGCTTTCTTGTCAAGCCAGAGGGTGTATTTTAACATTAAAACAAGTAATATCTTTTATAAAAACTAGTTGTGAGTACAAATTGAACATATGACCTTCAAAAAGAAGATTTTGATATTTATAACCCCTTACCCTTACTCAAAACAAGCATTACAAAATTGCACCCCTCAGGTACACCTTTTAAGCACTTCACACTATACTAGGAAGTACATCGGTACTAGTAAGGAGTGGTAGTTACCCTACTCTGTAGGATAACCCAAGTAGTCAACTAAGAGTTACCCTAAATTGCTCAGTGGTGGGTCCGAGTAGAGTTACCCTACCTTTGGACCAGAGTTACCCTGCCTTAGGCAATGGGTTACCCTGCTATTGAGCTAAGTTCTTCTAGCTTGAAAATAACTTGTTACGCAGGACTTCGGGAGAAGTTACTAGATTGTTTGTCACGTAAAACTACATAGGCTATTCGAATCGCCGGTTGTGCAGATCGCTCCAGTACAACTAGTTGAGTTATGAACAATCTGTAACTTGAAGGTATGATGGCTAATACTTCCTCCCACTCCGTTATAAGTCCCTCTTATGATGGGCTATAGCCTGGAGAGTTGCTGTAAGCCTAGTAAAAATCTTCTAATTGAGATGCTCTTGTAATACCATATGCGCTCCCGCCGTCCATCAGACTGGAATCTGTCTGCAGGATATATGAGGGGGTAGAGGAGCACCTAGAGAATGGACTCCAGGTGGCTTCATGTGAAACGTAGTAGATCTGACAGAGTAATACTAGTTTGAAGTTCGAGGTAGCATGTGAGGTTACCGGAGGCCAGCAGGCGAGGTAATAGAAGTCCATTGCCCCAAAAGTGTAATAGTATTAAAGAATTGTTAAGGACTCTGAGATACTAGTCGGTGGATATGATAAAACCGACATCGAGGAGTATTAACTGTGGGTGGTGCCTATTGGTAGGCAACCTCTGAAGAGGTCTATTGGGGGAGCTACATGGCCATCATCTGGAATAATATGGAATAGAGTAGAACCGGATAGATGTTCAGGGGCTGCGGATGCTTGTAGAAGACTATGTGTATATGGGTAGAGAGTTCCATAGTTGGTATCACATCGGATTAGGCATGGTAGTTCGCCACTGACCTGTGCGTGATATGAAGAGTTTTTACTCCTCCAGTTGCATTATAGATGCAGCGGCTAAAGTACTTTGATCGGGTAGATGTTAGTAAACTATAGAGTAGTCTAGTTCGCTGTGGAGAAGCTTTGGTTCGATCAGTAGAGGTTGGCTAGGC